AAAAAAAAAAAAAGTAATGGGGGAGGGTGGAGGCTGGCAGGGCGCCGATTGCCCTGCCACCCTTCGCCCCCCCCCAATCGCACTAGGCTACCAGAGTGATTTGCAGTGCTGTTTTCTCGATAGTCTGTTGCAAAAAAAAAAACTTTTCTGGTTTTTTTTTTTAATGTGATTTGCAGTAGGGCCCGGGCCACTTACCTGTGTAAGGCACCGTGGGCTGTCAGATTTGCAGTGCAGAGTAATGAGTGTTTTTTCCGGTACTGAGTCTGTGCCGTTTGCACACCAGGCTGCTTACTTGGTGGGCTATTTTTGAAACTGGTTTTGGATTACCTTTGTTCCTCCGGAACGCTGATTAGCGTACCTGACCAAGGGCCGACGAAGCGGTGAAAGAACCGCGCCTATATCAGTAAACACTACGGCCGGTTAGGTCCTCTCGGGTCCTGCGCCTGGTCAACGCACTGCAATCCGGAATGCGTGCGAGTAACCTGGCGTGGGGTAGGGTAAGTGGGAAACGACGAGGTGGTGTTAGGCTAAGGGAGACGAAGGTGGATTCCCCCTGAAGAGACAGCGTGGCGGCTGTCGAAACCGGTCGGGGTGCCATACCCACCGGCTGTTTGCGCTTGTGTTTTACTTGTGTGTTTTCACTTGATGACATGATTACATGTATGTGAGTACATGATTACATGTTGCTTCGGGATTAAGCACGTGTTGATTGACTTTGTCCTTCCTCACTCCACGTGTTGATTGACTTGTCTCTCCTCACTCATCTCAAATCTCTGAAGGCCTGTGTGAACCAACCGAGAAGCTGCTCGGCAAGTGTGAGCACGCAGTGTGTCCCGTTACAACCTTCTGTTTTTTTCGTGATCTGAGAGTTACGATACGTGTGCTACGGAGGCGATGTGAATTAGCGAATTCGGGTTTTTTGAGAGTCGGGGCTACGATACATGTGTTACGGAGGCGACATGATTAGCGTATCTACTGTCTTCTCGCGAGTTGAGAGCTGCGACACGAGTACTACGGAGGCTTGGCGGCTAGCAAGCCTGCACACCGTTCCGGTCTTTGTCGACATTTTCAGGTTGGTGTTGTGTCCGAGTCGGGAGGAGGATCGCGCGACTCGGAGTCGTGTTACGGAGGCGGCGTGATTACGGTACATGTGTTACGAAGGCGACGTGATTAGCATATATGCGATACGTGTTGTCGACATTTTCCAGGTACAATAGATGCGTTACGGAGGCGCAAAGTCTTCGCCTACTGCCAAGCTGCACCGGAGCGATGTCGGGAGGGGGATCTCGCGATTATAGGCTCGACTATGACCGCGACTGGGAGCGTCACCATGAAAGTCGACGTGACGAGGCCTACGGCCGAGAACGGACGAGTGATGATCGGCGTGGTCGTTCTGTGGAACCACGTCAGGATCGTAGCTACAGGGAACCACCGAGACGCTATCCCCCGGTTTGCTTCGAGTGCGGCGAACCGGGTCACTACAAGAACTAGTGTCCACGACTGGTGGGGGAGGCTAGCACCGGATACACGACCACTCGAGGACGATCAGCTTCGCCAGGACACCTGGCACGTCCTATGGAACGACGTTCGACTTCGGAAGAACCAGCGTTACGTAAACAGATTGAAGATATGGCTATCTCCCTAGCTAGTTTGAAGGAAGTATTTGACGCGGAGCAAGCCAACAAGGCACGCAAGGAGCAGGAACGGATGGAGAAAGAAAGACATAAACAAGAAGTGAAGGAGCAGCTAGCGAGAGAAGAAGAAGAACATTTGGCTCAAGTGCAACGCGAGGAACGGCGACGCATGAAGAAGGAAGCAGAAAAGCCGAAAGAAGCAGAGTTTCGGGAAGGACTAAGGAAAGAGTTAAGAATGGAAGTCCGCAAGCATGTCGGAGGCGCATGCGAGGAACTGCATCAACGACTATTCGGGGACTTGACGAAGAGTAAAGGGAAGAACAAGCTACCCGTATTTGAGGGATCGGACGATGACGAAGACAGTGCAGAGGAGAGTGAGCTCGAAGCGCTGAGCGAAAAGACGGGAGGTCTAAAAATCAGTGATAAACGTAAGCGTAGCGCGGAACGCATCATAGGCGACAGCCCACCGATGGAGACCGCGGCGAAGCGCTCGACAAAACGAGGAACGCTGGTACCGAAACGTTTGGCGCTTAGCTGTCGGCATCCATCAATGAAGAGATCACAAATCAAGAAGACTCCAGGTGAAACCATCGCAAAGTTGAAGAAGATACCCTCCACGGCGGGTAATCCAGGAAAATTTCGTTATGTCAAAGAAAACCTATGTGTGCTGGGTGGGATGAATGTTGACGAGCTGAAACAAATTTGCCGCGACGAGGATGTGCGTTTCGAAGGGGACAAGAAGAAGATGGACACTATACTAGCTATTACGGAGAAGCGGACACATCTGGCGTATGGTACCGACAAGGAGGAGGAGGAGACCACTGAAGGAAGCACCATGGGAATCAAAGATGATTCCCCCAACAAGGAAGTACATCAGTCCTCGGAGGACGAGGAACAGGAGGAGGAGGACAACTGAACGGTTGAAGACTACTGGCGGCTGTGCAGAACATTGGTAACCCTTCGACGAGACACACCATACCATGCCGTGATGGAGAGACTGTACCGTTACGTTGTTATTCTTCTGGCGATCTACGACCAGATTCGATGGCTACAGAAGTGTCTGACTACCTGGGTGAGTATGTACCAGAAGTTAGGCATCAAAGCCTTCAACGGTGAGCTCAGTGGCGTTTACATCCTGACCTCACCTACCTGCAAAGCACAGTATGTGGGGCAAACCAAGCGGACAACTAATACAAGGTGGAAGGAGCACTTATCGGCTTATGGCCAAGCACGTAAGCAGACTGACCTATACAGGTGGTGGCAAGTTTTCGGACCCGAGTCGTATGTGTTAGTGTCGATCGAAGTCTGCTTTGAATCGGAACTTCTACCGCTCGAAAAACTGTATATTCGCCGATGGTCGCCTGTCCTAAACACGACCGGTAAGCAGGGTAAGGGCTCTGGGACAGGGAAACGGCGGCTCGGAAAGCGGGAACAAAGTAAGGAGAATAGACTCGTTCACGCGAACTGGTCACCTCGGAGCTTACCGATTGTGCCGGTCAGAGCTAGGACTAGCGAGGCATACAACTGGAGCGTTGACGTGCATCAGCTGTTGGATTCACAGGAGACAGCGGAACGTCGAAGTTTCTCCTTGATGTTGCAACGAGGGAACGTTTGGTGCGGAGGATGGAGGAAAGTGAAGGCAGCTTTCGGAAAGACGGAGTTGACTATTGAGGGTCAATGCATGGAACTACATCATAGTAGAGCTCATATGGAAAGGGGTGTTTTAGTCGAGGTGACGCATCTGGTCAAATGAAAACCCAGAGCCGGACCTGACAAGAATTTCCTGCGCTCAGTGTTCCGTAATCCTCACCGCATGGATGCCTTGAGGAAGTGTAGCTTAACGGTGCTGGTCAGGCTAATCAAATCTGCGGGCAAGTGCCAAAAAGCATCTTCGACTGCTTTCCTACGACGGACGATAGTTCGAGCTATCAAGGTAAACCATGGCTGGAGTATGAACGCTAAGTTAGTGAAAAGACTGAAGTTTAATGACCGCATCAGATTAGTTGAAGTGCGCAAGTTACTTAATGATAAGATTGAGGGTTTAGATGCTCCCGCTTGTTTGAAAGATGTTGCACGTGGTATGGTTTGAGTCGTATGGGTTAAAAACCCGTCGGTAGCCGAGATTTTGCACAATCAGCGGCGTTTCGCCAAAACTGAGGTGTTGACCTGTACTTGTTCAGGTCTTCCCTACCCTCGTGTAATAGACCACGTGCGCTTCCGCCTACACGAGCTGGATGGGATCAACCCCATGATCTGTCACGCTAACTACGTACCGAAATTGGATCACACAGATAGGGAAGGTTTGTTAGTACATGAGATCTTAGCTGGTTTTGCTACGTGGGGCAATAGAGGTGACGTAGAGGTGCGTGTCCATAAATGGGAAGTGTTGAAATGCATGCAGAGGGCCGGTAGTGAAGAGGATAACTATGTGGGTAAGTACCTGGACGTTAAGGAAGTGGAGACCGTGAAGGCGAAGCTGGACGGTCTTGTGCTCACGAGTCTTGATCGGAATGCAGGGGAGACTGTAGCCATGTGCCCGACATTGTATTTCGAGGCCATGATGGATACATTTGTATTGTCATCAGGATACACGATCATGCAGGAGAAAGAGGAGGACATACTGCGAAGGATGAAGGCGGATGCGGAAGAAGTGGGTCTGAAGCAGTTCGTGCGGTGGGATGTCAAAGGGAAGTTTGGCGATGCATATGTTTTGCCAAAACATAAAGACCTCTCAAGATTCCGACTGGTATGCCCCACCTTCTCAGAACCGCACGTTCGAATTTGCCGTGTTACCGCAAAAGTGCTCAATGACCTTCTGGCTGGTATGCCAAGGAAGTGGCACTTCAATCTGCGATCAGTCTCTGAGCTAGTACCAAGACTGGATCAAGTGAACAGAAGCATCAGCCGGGTGATGAAGAGCAACTCTGAGGTGGTGGCCATGTCCTTCGATATCAAGGACATGTTCAGTAAACTGTCGCACGAGGAGATTATCCAGGCAGTCGACTGGGTGATTGATCACCATCGAAGTAATGGTCGGGAATGGGTTCGTGTGAACACGAGAGGGAAAGGTCGTACTTTTGGAGCGAGTACGGGTGACGACCATTGGAGGAAGATGGATTTGGAGACGGTTAGGAATTTCGTTAAGTGGGAGCTGGAACACACTTACACGAAAGCCACCGGTATTCTGCTGCATCAAGTCGTAGGTATCCCCATGGGGAAAGGGACGAGTCCGCCGCTGGCATGTATGTTGTGTGCTTTTGCAGAATACAAATTTCTGCAAAGTTTGGAAGGGTGGCATCGTTTTGTGTTCGGTGTTCGCCTGATGGATGATGTGAGTTTGATCGTTGTGAAAGGGGGGAAAAAACAGACCCCTGTAGACAGAATTGCGAGTAGCTTTGAGGGTTGCTACCCCAAGAATCTAACTCTGCAAAGGACGGACGGAGGTGACAGGGTGTGAAACTTTTTGGGCACGATCATGTCTGTAGATGCTTCAGACCCGTACCTGCGATGTACGCAGTTTTCGAAGAACGAGGCCTCATCATGGGAGGAAGGCCGTCTGGAATTCAAGAATGGCCAAACGTACTACTCCTGGGGGAGCAAGGCACAGAAGAGTGCTATGGTGGGAAGTTGCTTGCACAGGATTGAGCACAACATGAATGTGCGCTCAGACATACCAATGAGAGTCATGAGCTTGCAGAGGGAACTGCGTCTCAAAGATTTCCCACACACCTTTTTGAAATGGGTGCTGAAACGCTTTGCAACCGGGAGAGATCCGATTTGGAACTGGACTTACAACTGGCTCTTTGGGGAGGATGTGTGAGTTCTGATGACGAGTATGAGTAGGTTGTACTTTAGTAGTTTACCAGTGGTACTGTGATTTTCGGAAGGAGTGTGTGTTTTGTTTTTTTCCTTCAGTGTTGGGAGCAAGCGGAAGTAAATTAGGACAGGGTTGTTTTTTCGATTGTCTGTTGCAAAAAAAAAAACTTTTCTGGTTATTTCTTTTTGTGTGATTTGCAGTAGGGCCCAGGCCACTTACCTGTGTAAGGCACCGTGGGCTGTCAGATTTGCAGTGCAGAGTAATGAGTGTTTTTTCCGGTACTGAGTCTGTGCCGTTTGCAGACCAGGCCGCTTACTTGGTGGGCTATTTTTGGAACCGGTTTTGGATTACCTTTGTTCCTCTGGGACGTTGATTAGCGTACCTGACCAAGGGCCGACGAAGCGGTGAAAGAACCGCGCTTATATCAGTAAACACTACGCCCGGTTAGGTCCTTTCGGGTCCTGCGCCTGGTCAGCGCACTGCATTCCGGAATGCGTGCGAGTAACCTGGCGTGGGGTAGGGTAAGTGGGAAACGACGAGGTGGTGTTAGGCTAAGGGAGACGAAGGTGGATTCCCCCTGAAGAGACAGCGTGGCGGCTGTCGAAACCGGTCGGGGTGCCATACCCACCGGCTGTTTGCGTTTGTGTTTTACTTGTGTGTTTTCACTTGATGACATGATTACATGTATGTGAGTACATGATTACATGTTGCCTCGGCATTACGCATGTGTTGATTGACTTTGTCCTTCCTCACTCCACGTGTTGATCGACTTGTCTCTCCTCACTCATCTCAAATCGCAAATACTAGAGTGGCCCGGGTCCACTTGCCCGGCCGGGCAAAAAAGAAATAAAAAAATAAAAAATAAAAAATTATTTTTCAATTTAAAATTTTATTTTAAATTGGGTAAAGAATTTCGATGTGACCCTGGGCAAAAGTTGTTCAGTTTATTTTTCTGCATAACATAGTTGTTTTTCGGATTTTTTGGAGGGTTTTTTGTTGTTTTTTTTTTCGCTGGGACCTTCCCTGGTCCTTGCACGGCCGAACCGCCCGGGGAAATAGGGTGACCCGGGCGGCCCAGCTGGTAGCCTAGAAAATAATAAAATAAAAACAAATATTTTAATATTCCATTTTCTATTTTAAATTTGGTAAATAATTTCGATATGACCTTGAGGCAAAAGTTGTTCAGTTTATTTTTCTGCATAACATAGTTTGTTTTCGAATTTTTCGAAGTTTTTTTTTTTTTTTTTTTTTTTTTTTTTT